GTCGTGGTCTTGTTTCATGGTTGGCCTTGGTGTTTTCGAGTTTTTCCATTGTCCTTCCTTTTGCCTTGCTGTCTTGTCTCTGTCTTCCTCCTTTGTGCGGTGCTGCCAGGAGTTTCTCTTGTTCATACACTCTCTCTCTTTGCTTCCAGTACCTACGTTTGACAAGCTCGCTTCGGCGGTTGTCTTTTCTTTCTTTCGTTCATATACTAAATTATCAGAAACGAGATCGTCACCGTTTTTCGAGTGTCGATCCCTTGAAAACGGTCTACTCGCTTCACTTCTACCTCTTGACGAGACTCAATATCCAAGACGCAGGTCGTCCAGTCCAACAGCAACAACTCCTACAGTATAATCCAGTCATTCGAAAAGAGGAGGACGAAAACGATATCCCATTCAGCAAGCGTGTTCCGATTTCCAGTTTAGACGGTTTCCTTTGCTCTTTCAGTTACTACGCCAAACGCCTACATCGCCACCATGGCCAACAAAGTCTTTCTTGCGGCTGTCGCCGCCGACATTCTCTTTCTCGCCTCGGGCATCCTCGAGCTGGTCTTCTCGCTGGTCGTCAGAAGCCAAATGAACGATGCTCCTGATGATGGCGAACGTGCCACAAGGAATCTGCTTCACCAACGATTCCCTCTCACCGCTGGTATTGTCAATGCCGCCTTTATTCTCGCCACGTTTGCCGTCACCCTGCCAGGACTCGTCATGCCCGCCCGCAGCATTCTCAAGATTTCCGGATACATGGTGACTTTCTGTGCCGTCTTCACCATGTGCGTTGGTGTCTTTCTCTGGGTCATGACATTGAAGATGCGGGAGCAATTCTTTGACATCTACATTGCACAAGAACCTGAAATCCAGAGCTTGATCCAGACTTCTGTATGTCAAATCCGAATAATGGCAAAAATGTCTCTAACAGAAGCTACAGTTTGAGTGCTGCGGATACTACAACAGTACCACACCCGCCTTTGTCATGGACACTACGTGCACCAGCCCTGCGAGCGCAGCTCTTCTACGAGGCTGCGCGACAGCCATCTCCAGCTTCTCAAACCTGCACATCGATAGCATCTTTACCGTTGTCTTTGGAATTGTTGGTATGTGTTGGTCCCTATATCTCAACGTGCTACTCAATATACTAACTACATCCAGGTGTTGACGCCATCTTTGTCCTCTGCATCGCCTGCCTTCTCAAGGACCGCAAGGAGCGCGAGCGCTACCGACACATTGATGAGAAGTCCGGCTACCGACAGATTTAGAAAAACCACCTCTGGGCATGAATGAGGCGGCCATTGACTGGCTGCCGTGGGCTACATCGTCGTTCCTTTCCCGTACCTAGTAGTATACCCAGCGGCCACTGTTCCTAGAGAACCTGTTGCGTTTACCAGCCTTTTATATTTAGTCCGAGATGTAGTCAATGCACAAGGTTCTTAAACGTCGAGGGGAAACGGTGGGTATGCATTGGAGTCTTGAGGTGCGAGGCTTCTATACACTCAACTTTGTGATCATCAGAACATGCACAACCTCGTATCAAAGTCATATCGTAAACCTTTTCGTATCCCTCGTGAGAGCCACGTCATAATCTTAACGCTATCAAATGGTTCCAAACGTCGTTACGCCTCGTTTTCTGCTCTGTTCCCTCCGCATCTCCACCTCCTCCAGCTCGAGTCCCGCACCGTCCGCCATTATCCGGTCACGATGCCACGGCCCGACAAACATGCCCTGGGGATCGACGCTGTCCCGCACTGCGCGGAAGGAGTCGAGCTCCTTGCCGTAGAAGGCCTCGATCTCTGGACGCTGAGATTGGAAGTTCTTTGCCCAGTGAGGCTTGCCGCCGAGGTCCTTCATCAACCACTCAAACGCCTCGTAGTACCTGTCGTGGCAGGGAGGGTCCAGCCAGTAGGGTCGGTAGAGCGTGGCGTTGAGATACAAGGTTGGTCCGTCGTCGACGGTAATGTCGAGGTAGGGTCGCGTGTTGGAAGTTAGTGTGGTGTCACTCACACGAACCTCGACGGGCGAGTGGACGTAGAGACCCTCGGCGGAGAAGGGGATGTTGTGGGGGACGTAGTCGGGGTCATCGGGCGACAAGTGATTGAGCCATGAACTCAGCCGTCGAAGGGCCTCAGGACCCTTGTTAAGTGGGATAGCCCACTCGTTAACAAACTGTGAGTAGAGACAGTTCATGAGGAGGGCCTTGCGACTCGGCTGAACGGCCGACGAGCTTGTTCCGTTGCGGAAGCCGTACTGCATGCCAAACACGAACCACTCGACCCAGGGAAGAATCCTCGGGGCGTACTGGGAGAGGTACAGCAGGTTGTGGTAGACATAGTATCCAAGGGCGCCATCGTAGCCACTCTGGGGTGGTTCACGGTGCTCCTCGTCCGTCTTGTCCGCCTGCCAAACCACGGCACGCCTCGTGTAAGGGAACCACCAGACCCTGACAAACTCGCTCTGCGTCCACAGCTCGTGGTTCCAGGCCTCAAACATCTTGTAGTCAGTGTCAATGACCTGCCTCCACTTGAGGCTAAAGGCCGGGACGGCCTTGAAGGTGACTTCTGTGATGATTCCAAGTGCGCCAAGGGAAAGGAGGGCGGCTCGGAAGAGATCGGGTTTTGTGTCCTTGGAGCATTGGACTGTAGTCCCGTCGGCGAGGGTGACCTTGAGAGAAATAATGTCCTCTGACATGAGTCCGTGGCGCAAACTGCTACCGTGAGTACCAGTAGAAATGGCGCCGCTGATAGACTGCTGGTTGATGCTCCCAAGGTTGGGCATAGCAAGCCCATGCTTCTCAAGCTCCTCGCATAGAGTGTACAGCCTAATCCCTCCCTCCATGACAACCACGCCCGTCTCCTTGTCCACAGAAATGATCCTGTTAAAGTTGTCGAGGTTGACGAGCCAGCTCGACGTGCAGGTGATGTTTGACGGCGAATGGCCGCATCCCGCCGTCACCAGGCGCCGACGACACCTGCGCGCAAGATTGACCACCTTCTGCACCTCGGCCAGCGACTCTGGCTGGATATACAGCTCTGGGAGGGACGAGAAAGTGCGCGCCCATGTCTGGTGGACGTGCCGCTGGCGGGCGCGAAAGGCGACTCCGTCATCTTGGAGCTTTGCGAGCTCCGCGGCCACGAGGGGGTCCATTGTCGCAGGAGGAAGGATTGGATGACAGAGGCAGAAGAAGAAGAATCTCGCAGGATTAATCGACGAGTAATGGATATAGAAAAGACCCAGCGGGATCTAATCTATTCGCTCGATGCCAAAGTGGGCGTAGTCGCATTCGGTCTTGGTCTCGTCTTTGTGGGTCAGCGACGGAATCGTAAATCTCTCGGTTCAACAGGTACAGGCTCCGAGGCCGATGATGCGAGTTAGAGGAGGAGCATTTCTATAGAGTGTGTAACTCGGGCCTGGCGATGAGGAAGGGAAGAAGGAGTGCGACATTGTGGGAGGGTGAGCCATATATTGGAATGGATGGGTAGAAGTCGTCGACGGTTCGGAACGGCTTGATAATCAGAAAAGAGGCGCGAAACCCTCAACCCGTTCCGACTCGAGCGAACGAGCAAGGGAAAAAAAACCCGATCGACAGAAAAGTCCCTGGATCGGCAATTCGCGCTGGGCTCTGATTGGTTGTAGGATAAGGGTTCAAGCCGTCAGCGATATCCTTTTTCTATGCGGGCCATGACAGGGGTCTTGATGGTGTCATTGAGTCTCGAGCCGCCGTCATCTAGACCGGCTCGGCTCGTCGCTTTGATGGTTTTGTGATGAGAGTGCGAGTGTATCGATCAATTGGAGTTGATCTTGATACAGAGATCTTGCCTTTTCCAATTCAAATGCCGTGGATGTCGTTTCAATGCTTGATCGCCCAGTTCTGCACCTCAATAATCCAATCTGGTAGCGCTCCACAAACTGCGACAATACCCACTTCAACCATCGCTCGATCTTCACATCAAACATGATAACTAGAACGGACACTAAAACAAGCGATACCATACAGCAACTCATGGCCAATCGAGTCCAAGAAATACACACTTTTCATTGCCGGAGTCATCTCAGCATGGATACCAAAAGTCTATACCAATATCAGGCCGCCGTGGAACTGGTGTTGTGTTGCTAACCTAGACTAACCTACACGAAAACAATGCCATTAACCTACTCTACTCTTTGTGCTACAAAACAAAACTCGGTCTCGATTACACTATAACACACCCATTATCTGACGCTGAAAAAGGGATGCTCAAGAAGCTCGCTTGCTGTGGTCTTCGGGCGCGGAGGAACATCCATTGCCAATCGTATCAGTTAGTTATAGAATCCACCTCCGATGGAAGGCCACCGTGATATTTCTTCTTGGACGGGCTTGACCCTCTCGGGAGCTCGAAATTGGTAAGGTCTGGCAACAGCAGGCGATCATGCGTAGTATGAACTCACTCTCTTTGGGCGAGCCACTTTGTCCTGCCCCATCCAAACCCAAGCTTTCGAATAATACTATATCACCCTCGCTAGTTAGAGAGCGCTTTGATGAGTGCCAAGGGTTGTTGGATAAAGCCCGCCCTCGACGTAGAGCGCCAGCCACTCGCACAAGCGGACATGATGCCATTCAGATTGGCGAAAGTTGTGTTCTGAGGGGTATTCAGGCACTCCTAAGGGAAGCTCCACGGGGTGGGGGATCAACATGTGAGGGGAGATCGACACGATAATGGATTTCTGATAAGTAGAGAGATGCGTGGTTCGTGTGCGGGCAATAGAATGATGATATGGATAGAGATGCAATGTTGGTGGAGCGTGTTACGGCTGGCAGTGGTTAGAGGAGGAGTAGCATCACTTTGATATGGGAACGAGGTTTGTTCTTTCAGGCGCTGCTATTCTAGATAACCTAAATAGTAAAGAGCCATCTAGCTTTCAGCAAGTAGCACAGCCGGACTTTTGAAGAAGGATACTATACATGATAGAAAGGCGGTTACTTTACATTGTGGCAGTAGGCCATTGGAGTTGGTGAGGTTCTCTTCGAATCATCACCTCCCAAATAATCCTCCAAACGCCGACGAAGCACCTCCGCCGCCTCCACCACGGCCTCCTTGTCTCCTTGCCTCAGTCCTGATCCATTCCTTGAGAAACTCCTTGTCAGAAAGCTTCCTAGCATCCGCCAACTTGGTCGCCGTTTGGGCCTCTCCGCCGTCAAAGCTCAGCAGCGTGGGAATGCTGGTGATCATGTAGGTCATGGCAAGATTGGGGCTCCCAGACATGATATCTGGCGAGTCAAACTCGACCGTAGCAAGGGAAACACCGCCCTCATCCTCGCCCACGCCGGACTCGACAAGTTCCCGGATGAGGGGGCTGACGACTTTGCAGGTTGAGCACCAGGATGCGGTCCAGAGGGTGAGAAGGGGTGTGCGGGATGAGGTTGAGAGAGAGAGATAGGTTGAGAATGAGTCGTTGTTACGGATGCTAGGATTAAGCGGTCAGTACAGCACAGCACAACCCGGCACGTCACTTGGCGGTAAGAAAAACAAGGAGGGACTGGACTTTTTCTCCACGATCGACATAGGGGAGTTGGGGGTGCAAGACAAGGGCCATGTGCAGGCTCATGTGATGTGCATGGAGGTCAGAGAAGCACTCACGGGGCGTATATATGGTTCTTGGCTTGCCGCGGGGTGGTTGTTGAGAGCGAAGCGCGAGAAATCATACGAGGCGACGGTTTGGCTAAAGACGCCATCCCGCAGAGGGGCCGTAGCCCAGACGAGAGACCGGCACGCATTCTATCTGAAGTTGCAATATCCAGTAGTAAACAACTCTCAGGATAGCATGTGGCAAGTGAGTTAAGTCACACTGCAGCAGATGAGAAAGAGATGCAAGGTTAAAGGTAGAGGCGCCCGCAGTGCAGGGTCCGCGTTGCGGCTCGCCCCAAAAGTTTGCGACAAGGGATGAAAGATGAGCTTTGAAATGATGTCATTGCACCACAGATACGATCTAGCGGCTGCAGAGACCACAGCCAAAGGACCCTTCCCTCTACCAGTTACAGGGACCATAGACCCCATGCGACGGCGCTGGGGGGGTCATGTGTTGCCCTGGAGCCGCTCCGGCCGAGCTGTATTGAAGACCCTTCGTCAGCTGTGCTCACTGCAACCGTTTTGCTCTGCCGCCGTCGCCGCCTGTGGATGCCTCCGTCTCCACCTCCACCTCCGCGCCGGGGTCCGTCCGTCGCTCGTTTCGCTTCGCTTGGTGCGGGTGTTGAGATGATCTATCTCATGGTCATTACTCATGTTTCTTTTCTTGCCGTCCGGTGACTCTTTATCTTGACTCTCCTCCTTCCATTCTCTCTCGAGTCCTGTCTTCTTTCCCTTTCATCAACAGCAGCAGCAGCAGCACAGTCAATCTCGGCAGGTGCCCGTGGTGCTCTCCTTTCTGACGTCAAGCTCAGCACCGGCCTGTTCCAGGCAAGACATCTCCAGACGAGGGAGATTGCAGCTCGAGATTGGTGTTTACTCCTCCAAACATTGGGTTGCTGTCTTGATTCCTTTGGGACAACAAACCCTTTCCCTTGACCCTACAACTATTGTTACGGATATCTCACCTACCCGGCATACCTAATCCTCACTTCGGCGCTATCTCCACCTTCGTCTTTATCTCCAGGAAACCCACCGGGGTCCAGAAATCACTATCCACATCAATTATCCCTACCTCTCAGGGTTCTCTCCCCTTGAACTTTTCCCGGCGCAATTGACTTTTGCATCTGCCGCGAAAGCTACAACAAGCTAGCCGAGAAGCCATCATGGCAGAAAAGCCAGAGGTTCCGAAGTGGCGGCGCCTTTTGGGCGCTGGTGCCGGTGCCGCCGCCAGCACTCCCTCAGATGGTAGATGGAAGCCATCGAAATGGAGTATGGGAGTGTTGAACGACAAAGACACCATTGAAGTTCCAGGTCAGTGGCAAAGAACTGCGTGAATCTGGGAAAAGACTGACATGAAATAGGATCTGTTCTGCTTCTTGCTTCTCACCGCAATGAGCCACTTGGTCTTCGGAACATGCAGGCAAGGAACTCGCATTCATCTATCCCCACAGGCTTTCCAGTCAGCTCGCGAAGGAATTCAGGAGCATCAGCAACAAACCGTCCTCAAGTGCAAGAGGAAAAGAAGAAGACGAGCGATGGCGCCATCATTCTGGACCCCCAACCCGAGGATTCGGCCAATGACCCCCTGAACTGGCCTTCCTGGAGACGGGACATCGCCCTCTTGTCACTTGGCTTTTACTGCATGATTGGTGGCGGCACAACTCCTCTGGTGGCCGCTGGCTTCACGGACATTGCACAAACCTACAATGTTGACGTTGAGAGGGTATCCTTGACCACAGGACTCTACATGATGGGCATGGGCCTGGGCTCTGTCATCTTTTCCCCCACCGCAATCCTCTGGGGAAAGCGTCCGGTCTATCTTGCGAGCTCCATTCTCTTCATTGGCACATCTCTCTGGGCCGCCTGGTCTCCGTCCTTCAACTCTCTGCTGGCTGCCAGAGTCTTTCAAGGCGTTGCAGTCAGCCCTGTGGAATGTCTTCCATCCGCCACCATTGCCGAGATCTTCTTCCTGCACGAGCGAGCCTATCGTATCGGTATCTATACGCTGCTTCTTCTTGGCGGCAAGAACCTGGTCCCTCTGGTCAGTGCCGTCATCATTGGCGCCTTGAGTTGGCGTTGGGTCTTCTGGTAAGCATTCATAACCCCAATCCTAGTCAAACCCTCAATTGACAATCTTCTAGGATCTTGGCCATGATTATTGGTCTTGGCGCTGTGCTTCTCTTTTTGTTTGTCCCCGAGACCTTTTGGGACCGAACTCCTCACCCCAAGCCACATGCGCCGTTGAAGCGACCAAGCTTTCTCCGTCGACTGTCGTCACGTCATAGAACGGAAGACACAGGGGAAGAAGCTGTTAAGATGGAGGGCGAAACCGGGGCCCCTACATCTCCAGCCGCCGCAGCAGGACAGCACGAGGACGGCAAGTTAGGAACAGGTGCTGGTTCGGAGGGGCAGGAACCGGCATCTCCTGGCCCTAGCCACCGGCACAGGAATCTTCATGTTGGCTTTGCGAACGCCGAAGAAGAAAGCCCAGAGGCCTTTGCGTCTGAAGAATCGACGGCCACTGTCATTCACCCAACCCCATTCAAGACTGCGAATTCCCCCTCGAATGAGCCCGCTCAACCTACTCCTCCCTACTTCAGTAGTGCAACTGGGAGTGAATCTAATGTCGCCTCATTCAAGTCGGGCCCTAATCTTGAAAGCGAGAAGATGGACGCCTCGAGACTGAGGGAACCACCCAAGGTCCAGGCTTACACACACAACCTCCGCCAGCAACCTCCCAAGACCTTTACCCAGCAACTCAGGCCCTGGCATGGGCGCCTCAACCACGACAAATGGCTCAAGGTCATGGTTCGGCCATTTATCCTGTACGCGTATCCGGCCGTTCTTTGGTCATCGTTGGTGTATTCTTGCTCTGTTGGCTGGCTTATCGTCATCTCCGAGTCAATTGCCATGATCTATCGCGACAGAGAGTCTTACGACTTTGATGCCCTCCAGACAGGCCTTGTTTATGTCTCGCCGTTCGTGGGCGGAATCCTGGGAACTGGCGTAGCAGGCAAGGTCAGCGACATCATCGTCAAGGCAATGGCTCGCCGTAATGGTGGACTCTACGAGCCCGAGTTTCGTCTCGTCATGGCTGCACCCATCCTGGTCAGCACATGCATAGGCCTCATGGGATTCGGATGGTCAGCCGAAGAGAAGAAGCACTGGATTGTTCCAACCATCTTCTTTGGCATCGTTTCTTTCGGATGTTCTCTTGGTTCGACCACAGCTATCACGTTCTGCGTTGATAGCTACCGCCAATATGCCGGAGAGGCATTGGTGACTCTAAACTTTTCCAAGAATGTGCTTCACGGCCTCGTTTTCAGTCTCTTTGTTACTCATTGGTTGCACGCAGATGGCCCCAAGATGGTTTACATATGGATCGGCATCATCCAGCTTATTCTGATGCTGGGAACGATCCCCATGTACATTTACGGAAAGAGGGCTCGGATGTGGACAGTCCGGGCGAACCTGATGGAGAGGTTCTAGACCATGTTCTAGAGGTTTTCTAGAAGTTGGGCAGCATTGCTTGGCGTCTTGGTACAGCATATGCATATGTTTTGTAGCGTTTTGGTTCATCATTGGTTACGGCGTGGGACAGGCATTCATGGGCATCATGGCAGACTGCATGTTACGGTCATGGGGGTTCGGATAACGGTTTGAATAGCATTTTCATGGTATGAAGCCGGATAGATCGGTATAGTAGTACTGGCTCTTATTACACGATGACCTTCACAGACACTCGGGAGAAGCTTTGGGTCACCTAGCAGGCTTATGAAACGTTATGACTGGCTGTGGTATGAGAAGATGGTCGGCATGGCGCAGAGAGTTTCTCCGATCCAAGATTGCTTACATGGGAATACAATGATAGTGTTAGAGTTGATCAAGAATGTCTACATGCATCTTCACTGTATACTTCAAGTGCTCTGACGAAGCTCACCTCGAATAGATCAAGGTCCTCTCTAACATGAGACTTAACTTTCCATCCAGCAATGATCGACATTAGTTGCCTAGGCTAAACGACCTGGCTTCATTCTCGCGGGACATAGTAGGTTCGTTGGATTAATAATCTTGAGTAACCTAATGCCCCCGTGATGCCCCCGTGATGCCCTCGACGGACCCTTTCTCAATTCTCAGCACTACGCAGATCCTGGTGTCAGGTGACATGGCGACGAAATGGCGTCGCTGTGACGCAGAGTTGCAGTCAAGGCGCGCCTATCTCGACGCGTAGAGGATGCGCCGTCGAGGCAGCAACCCCGCAGTTCTTTGGACTACCTCGATATTCACGGAGTAACATGGCTAAAGGTTCTATACGAGATATACGATGTTACTTTGTCCTTGTGATACTGCTGGCTGTCTTGGGTATAAAGATGAGTGAATGTCTCAATGGAGAAGCCTGGCTGCTCAATAGTTTTACAACAATTCTTCAATTCTGATTACAACTATCCTTCAACATTATCAAAATGACGCGCAAGGTAAGTTCTTACATCCATGTGCATCCCCCATCTTACACCTCCAACAGATCGTCAACCGCCAAGACTGGCTCACAGCCAGAAAAGACTTTCTCGAGAAGGAAAAGGAACACACTCGAGCAGGTGATGCCCTCGCCGCCGAGCGCCGCAACCTCCCCATGGTAAAGGTTGACAAGACCTACACCTTTGAAGGCCCTGATGGCACCACCACCTCCCTCGCAGACCTCTTTGGGGACAATGATCAACTCATCGTCTACCACTTCATGTTCAAGCCCGGAGACGACGAGGGGTGTCGTGGCTGCTCTCATGTCGGCGAGTCGTTGCCTGACCCGCGACACCTCAACTTCAAGAACACTGCCTTTGCTTGTGTATCCCGTGCCCCAGCTAAGAAGCTCGAAGAGTACAAGAAGCGCAACGGGTGGACATGGCCGTGGTACTCGAGCGGCGACTCTGACTTTAACTATGATTTTTTCGCCACTATCGACGAGGCCAGGGGTAAGGCCCTGCTCAACTTTCGCACAAAGGATGAAGTCGAGGCCAAGGGGCAGACTTGGTGGGAGGGCGGTGATGTTCCCGGGTATAGCGTCTTTCTGAAGGAGGATGGC